CTCACCTTATGACAGACAAAAAACACAACACTGGCTCTTTTTTATTATGATTACTTTGTATTCAGGATCTTTAAAACCTCAATTCTTTGAAATTAAAAAAAAACCCACGCACAAAGAAAATACTAAGAAAGGTTTTGCATACTGGTCAAGCAACCCATCAAATACTGTCAACAGACCACCCAGTATTAGACTGGGGTAAAATATTTCAAGATACCAAAAATGCCAGGGGTCAGATGACATTTTTCTTGCATTATGTTTTGACTTGTTATAGAAGGTAAGTGCCGCCAGTCCTTCCTTGAAAGTCAGGGACAAATTTAGCAGTACGATAAGGTTTTTCCTACTGATCATCTGGTGTCATTACAGACATCTCCAAACAGAATTTTTAATAGTTGGTAGTACTTCAGTTAGATGCCACATAAGAGAGACATGTACTGGTTTCAGCTATGAAACGTGCACTGAACTGGTATAGCTAAAAATTCCTCATTCACAACTTCCATAGAACTATGACTGTGCCTGCAAGATAGAAACAATAGTGAAGTCCTACAAACATAAAAATTTCTACCAATCTTAACCAATAATGTGAATTTAAACTCAGCAAGTTACATTGTTGACTCAATACACAAAGAAGTTCCGAGGCAAAGGTGGGTCAAAAGAGCAGAACACCAGCAGGGATAGGTCAAAAAAGACATCAGTTTTCCAGAACAAATGAAAACGAAAGTGGCATATTATTAATAACTAGTCTCCACAAGAGCAGAAGCATCCTCTCTGTAGTGTTTCCATTCTAAGCAGAGGAAAACTGAATCTTTTCAACTCTGAATGAGGAAGGAATAGGGCTATAACGAACTTATTATGGTACAACAGGCTTGTCCAACACATTGATTGAAATTTAACAAAAACTTCAATTGGAGAGGTATGTAATGGCTATCATTGAATTCCTGTTTTGCATGCACAAGGTTCTAGGTTCACTTCCTGACACATAAAGGATCTCAGGTTAGAAGGGCTAGGAAAGTGCTAAGCCAATAGTTCTGCAATCTCTCAAATAGTCCATAGATGGGCAAATGGTCAGACTACATAAAAGACAGCTTTATGTATGTATGTTATTCTCATCAACAACATTAACACAAAATAGCTTAAAAGAGTTGTAGACACTAGAAAATAAATGGGTAATACAGTATATCTTAATTTGATTAGAATCTGTTTCTATTTGGGTAGAAACAGGCAAGTTCAGACCAAAGACACAACACGCAGAAATCGCTGAACACCCAGTGGCATTTCACAGATGATATGCAGCCCCCCCAAAAAAGTGTTACAACCTCAAGCCTGCCTTCCAAATGGCAACTTTCCATCTATGCCATAGTTGGTGCTCTACTAAGGGATCAAAGGACAGCGATGGACCTTACGACTAACAGGGGAGGGAATCAGCATGCGCCCCCTTCTCGACAATTTGCTCGTGCTTTCCGTACTGCTTAACCACTTAAGCCACTGCAGCTCCTTTAAAAGAGCTGTAGACACTAGAAAATAAATGGGTAATGCAGTATATCTTAATTTGATTAGAATCTGTTTCTATTTGGGTAGAAACAGGCAAGTTCAGACCAAAGATACAACACGCAGAAATCGCTGAACACCCAGTGGCATTTCACAGATGATATGCAGCCCCCCCAAAAAAGTGTTACAACCTCAAGCCTGCCTTCCAAATGGCAACTTTCCATCTATGCCATAGTTGGTGCTCTACTAAGGGATCAAAGGACAGCGATGGACCTTACGACTAACAGGGGACTTCTCGACAATTTGCTTGTGCTTTCCATACTGCACCAGCCTGTCAGATTTGATAGGAAGATAATCAACACATTCCAACTGAGAACCAGAGGACTAGAGATCCTGTTATGACGGTTATTATTCACCTGGCAGGGTCAAGAATATTTGAAGTGCTAAGAGTGTTGAGATAAGGCTACTTAGTGAAGTCTTCCAGAAGGCCATTCATTCAGAACCAATTTTCCTTGCTATGTAGCACTCAGTGAACTGCCCATTCTGCCTGATAAGTAGTGACATACAACTTTCCTCACAACAGTGCATGATGGGACTTGATCATATTCTCACACTGAGAACTGGTTAGTCTTCAAATGTTATTTATTGACTATCAAAACAACGTGAACAAAAAGCTTCCAGGAAATTCCATTGGCTTCTCCTATTTCTTCACACATTGCTGCAGATTGTACATTGGAGGCCTATCACAGAGTTGATAAGAGCATTACAGAGTGTTTTGTTTAACCGCCTATCCCAATATGAGAAATTTAGAGCTATTCTATCACCCAGGAGATGGCTGTCTACCCTCTGCTTGAAGACCTGTAGTGAGAGTGTGCCCACATTGTCCCTAGATAATTGCCTCTATTGTCAAATTGCTCTTAACATTAAGAAATTTCTGCTAACGTTCAGCTCAAATCTACCCTTATGTACTTTGAGCCTATTAGAAGATGGGTGGAAGCAACGCAGAACCTACTTGTTCTCTCTAGGCATGCCCAGTCTAAACTGTGTTTAATCTGTTTCTAAGGCTAGGAATTTTATTTACATAGGTCCGTGTAATTACGATCCATGTAATTGTTCAGGTAGTAGGACTACAGCCTTCTGAAAGTGCAGTTCCCAAAACTGGCCACAGAAAACCAGACAAGTTCTAACTAGCATGGAACAAAGTGGAACTTCTTAATCTTTGGATACTATGCTTGTGCTAATGTAGCCTAGCTACTTGTAGAGTTGAAGCACACGGCTGACCTGACTCATATTCTGCTTGTGAATTACTGCATTTCTGAGAGCCTTTTCACATGTGCTGCTGACAAACCAATACCCATCTTAATCTTGTACAGCTGAGTCTAGTCTTGCAGCAGCTCACCCATCCCCCTAGGGGATTTCTCAAAGACAATAAACAGATTCTGAGATTATACATCACCAAGCTTCCTCAGTAAGTACTAATTAGATGAGCAGTCATTAACATGGTAACCTGGGGTACTGGGAACCCACTGGTGTAAAAAAAATTCAAAAGGTTTTTTTAAGGGAGGGGGTTACACATAGTACAGGGAGCTTTGGCTCACCCCTACTGGGGGGGGGAAGTGCTGAGCTCATGCTGTGAGGTGCATCACAGTCATGTGGTTTAACTTAGTCATAGAACCAGACTTCCTTAAACTTCTGCACTCGACAATCTCTCCCTGTTGCCCCAAATCCTCCACTTTCTTTTACAAAGAAACCAAATGGCATCTCTTTTTTCAAAACACAGAGACAATTCCCCCCCCCATTAGAGCCCCCTCCTCACCTGGTCCTGCCCTCCATGACTGCCATTTTTTCATGCTCCCTCTACACTTTCTTTAAAGTTTCAGACATGCCCAGAGACTCAGTACATTGGGGACTCCTGAACTAAACCATAAAGGTTCTCCACTAGGTGGCCAAGTATATGAAAAGGCAACATACTAAAGAAGAAGGGATTTACTGCAGACGGTAATTCCCACTCCCCTGAAGTGCCAGTTCAGTTAGCTGAGGGAGGAAACGCTGTTACCCCGGAATCCAGCAGATCAGCACGGTTTCACTGAAGATGAGATTTTCTAAGATTTACTCCCTGCCTTTTTTCAGTTTCCTCACATGGGAAGATGAAGATCAATAAGGACAACAGTAAATAGATGCATGCGGTCAAACTGTTATCTTTCTATGTAGCTGTATCTGACAGATGTAATGTGTCACGAACATATGTAGTGACTAGAGATTAATACTTATGACCTGTTCTATCCCATTTAATCATGAATAATAATAGTAGCATTGTCATTTGTTTTCATTAGTTAAATCTATTTGTTGCATGCATGCATTTATGATTCATCCTCTCCCTAGGGGGAACATCAAGCTGTCAAAGCCTAAAAACAATCACTTCCTCAAGATGGTCTAGGAAATGCATACCTGGATAATGTCAACTACATTAAGAATTAACTGGCATTCTTTAACCTGTGAGGGCAACAGAAGACCCAGAAGTGCCCCCTTTTTTACAATTTCTTATTGTCTTTCCCCAGAGTAGAATATCTATTGTTTGTACATTCAAATTTTATGAATATTAGGATCATTTTCACAATATGACCAAAACACAAAATGTTGTCTCAATATATTCAGTGTATCAAACAGTCTATTTCTAAGTCCTTAGAAAGGTAGTAAAATAACTATTTTCTAGAAGTGAACCACGGGAATTAATATTATAATTTAATCAAGTCTCACAGTGGTCAAACAGTAGAAACACCATACAAATAAGAAATCCATTTGGAATGCACCATGATAAAGGTTTACAAAGTTTCTTTAAAGCACTCGTGGCTACTACATTCTACATAAATACATGCACCATGCATGAAATTGATCAAAAATCACAGTATAGTAATGTCAACTTACAATAAATCACAGATTTCAAGATACCTGTGTGTCTGTTGTAAAGGTAAAAAACTAAGGCATCAAGAGAATTCTGAGCCATGAAAACATACATTCAACTTAGGGACGCACAGAAGTTTGTGCTTTCAAGTCGTGTATCAATTAAAGGTTGTGTCTGCAAATAGCTCTCTTTATTATAAATATATCACGCACACACAGAAGAAAACACAGCTGTCTTTGTGAATCCAAATTAACAGGAACCAAATCAATACCGCATTCAAAATCAATGCCTGACCTCATCAGCAGCTATTCCTCTTTTTTACAAAATTGCAAAAGAAGCTAAAGATTCCCCCCCCCTCATTCAAGTCCCAAAACCAAATTGTAAGGCTCCGTCTGCCTTTTTATCCCACATCCTTACTGTGGAGCAGAAATGTACCTCAATATTCAATAAAAGAGATCCAATGTTTTTAATTCTTTGAAGAATTCAACCCAATATCCCACTGTCATATAGCTATTAAGTATATTAAATTATGTGAGGTTACAACAGAGTCATGCCAGACTTTAATTCAATCTGACAATTTCCAGTTAAAAATAAAGTATTGTTCTCCAGCAACCTTATCTTTGTCTTCCACAACATCTGCCAGCATGTCATCTGGGTCCAGGATTCCCCCATCTGTGTACTCCAGATGGTGAATGTTCACCCAATAAGAAGGATCCTGCAAATGAAACATAAGTACGTTTTCTCATTAGCTCACCATTTTTAGCACACAAACAATACTGTCACAAAATAAATTTCCTCATGTTCTAATAATGTTTATGAAGTGACATTATATTTTGTTCATAAACAGGTTTGTTTAATATTCCAATCTAAAACGAGTGGTTTACATGTTAATCTGTAGCTACTGAATCTACAAATATTAACAATGTGCTTCAAGACCTTGGAATAAGTCTTTATGGAAAATTTTAAATTTGGTTTTATCACATTTTTAACGTACTACAAATACACCAACGCTAAGCATGCTTACTTGGGCGTGAGCACTAAACTCAACAAGATTATCTTCCAGTAAATGCATATATTATTGCAAAGTGACTTTAGAAATGTAATTTACGGTAACCATCCACTATGACTAAAAGTACAATATTTAAATCTCACTTAGTCCAACGTTTTGTTCTTATTAGTCTTTGTTAACCTCTCAACCACTGTACACACAGTATTCTTTTATATGACCGTTCATATTTGGTTTACAAAAACACAGAACAATCTTCCAAAATATGACTCCAGTTGGAACAGTATAGGAACAGGGAGAGAACAGCCTTTCACTACACAGCACATGGACTCTTGGTTCATAGTGTAACATCTTGGAAGGGGGGGGGGTCAGGAAGACTGCATTTTCAGTTTCAGGTAAGGCTCAGACCAGCATGGACTGTATCTCAAATCCAAGACAGATGCCATAGCAGGTTTACACTAGTTCATAGATCCCTGTTTCTCCTGACTGCATATTCTCTGCAGCAACTTCCATTTTGGCTGATAATTACTTCCTTGATGATTCAGTCACCATCTGAACATCACTGAAGACTCAATTTTAAAGTATGTCAGCATGTGCAGGCAGAAGGTGTGATGGCAGAAACAGGGGGGAAAGTTGAGCAGAGGGTGTCAGGGACAGAATAGGTATCACAAATAAACAAATACTGCAACACACAACCTATGCAATCATTGATATCTGTGACACATCCTTCACCAACTTGGTATTCAGTCAGGGACAGCCAACTACATGTTTTTTCAGCTAACATAATTTTCTAGAACCGCAATTTCTAACCTTGAGAAACAGTATGCAACCTACTACCCTGCTCAGCTTGTCAAATCTCAAGTTAAAATACTATGCAGTTGCAGTACTTAGTGCCTTAAAATGAAGAGCAAATTCAGAATTGAGAATGGCATTTTTCCTTTAACTCATTCCACTGCATCTAAAGACTGTGGTCCATTAATTCAAATTGCCCACTTCTTCTGAAACTCTCAATTTAACGGATACTTGCCATGCTAAATGTATCACTTTGTACTGAAGCCGGTAATGAAAGGTATTGGAAACTGTACACATCTCTCTGCAGAAACCACCACAATACCACCAGTTCAACTGGAAATTCTCTTTAGTTGGACTTTCACATTTACAAGACCTTTCATAAATCTGGAGCAATCAGTGAAGAAAATTAAATGAAGATGGTTAAGTTTAATGGTTATTTTCTATTTTTGCTGTGTTTTCCTTTGAATTTATTCCCATTATAAAATCTGAGTTCTATATTCTACGCTCTTATCACACACTTGAATATTATTTCACATTTCTATCCTATTGTCTTGATACAAAGCAGGTAAGAGCCCTAACAACACTGAATTGTGAATCTAGTTCATATTTTGAAATACAACAAAAAAGCATTTGTCTACCTACTATTAGCCAAACACACACTTTTAAGTAGCCATATCTCATTTTGAGAAAATGAGCGACCACAGACTTCAGGAGAATACCAATGAGAAGAAGATTCCATGTTGGAAAGTAATAACTGAATGGTCGTTCTGTAGAAGGGTTGTCTTTGTCCCAGTGGGGGGCTCCAACCTGGCTCCTGGGGTCTTCTGGCATGCGCGCGAAGTGACATCATTGTGCCAGGAAAGTCAGTCAGAGGAAATTCTACCATTTGGGTAAAAAAACTCTATGGTCACCATAGAATTTTTACCCAAAAGCTAGAGCATCCTCCGCATGATGTGCCCAGCACAATGACATTACCTCCAGGTGACATCACCTCCGAGTGATGTCATTATGGCAGGCACGTTTAGCGCAATGGGGCTCTTAGAGGGTGGGGCTCTCCCACCAGCCAGCTGATCAGCAGTGGTTTGGGAGCCCCAAAAGTGGGGGAAACCCCACCCCATCAGGGGATGGCAACCCTATTCTGTAACCTTTGTTCCTATTTATACATGGTGTGATCTGGTCCATAGGGTCGCGAAGAGTCGGACTTGACTGTGCGACTGAACAACAACAAATATTCCAAGGTACACACAATGAAGGTTTAAGGCCCTCTTTGGGCTGCAGCCCAACAATCAGCTACTCCTAAAGCTCATGGAACCTTCTAGACCCACCTCCAATGTAGTGCAAAGAGCAGTATTTAGATAAAATAAAAAAGGAAGCCCTGATACACACACAGGTGTACATTCATTTAAGAGTTCCTACAGATCTGAATGGATATGTTGCTATCAAGAAATCTAGGAAGCCACCCTGACCTGGATAGCCCAGACAACCCAATCTCATCAGGTCTCAGAAGCTAAGCAGGGCCAACCCTGGCAAGTACTTGGAAGAGCAACCTCCAAGGAATACTATGGCCGGGATCTAGAGGCAGGTTATTAAGCCACCTCTCTGAAATGTCCTAGCCCCACTAGCGATTGCCAGAAGTCACCATGTATTCAAAGCTCACAAGCACACACACACACAAAGAAAAAATCTAGGAAGCTCTCTCACCAGGATGTAATGATTGTTATAACAGTCAAACAAGAAGACTACTCCAGTTTTGTCTTCACAACGTTCAGATTTTCTATATTAAATTTTACAATTGGGAAGAACCATCACATTGTATTAGCAATATGTCCAATCTGCTAAATGGGAGACACCGCTCGTAATAGTGGAGGAATCTGCCAAAAATACAAGGAATATTGTCAAGTAGTAAGCAGAGATGTGAAGTCCCAGGAAAAGAACAAAGTTTTTCCCCAGTTTCATCTCCAATAACATTTTCCAGTGGAACAAAGTTAGGAAATAATGGAAAGCACTGTAAAAAAAAAGCTCCTATGAAATGATTTTCCCCATTTGGAATGAGTCAAAGGCAAGTTTTATGCAAAATATTCAATAATAAGAAAAAAATATGTAATACAATCTGTAACATTGGATTATGACAAGCAGGAGACCCACAAGGACTCACGGGGAATCTCATTTTCCCCTCCCCTACTATTTTCTTTCCAGTTGCACAGTGGCAAATGCACAAGGGATTGAGAGGAGGACTGTGTTTTCTCTTCTGTCCTCCTCTCCACATTATTTAATCTTTCCTTTCTCCTGGCAAACCCCCCCCCTATTCTCACCTTTTCCTAATTCCTTTGCTACTTCACACCATCAACCTCCTTTCATCTGCCTCCCATCTTCAGCTACATTTATTATTTATTTCATTTAAATCACACCTTTATCCATAATGGGGACCCAAAGCAACTTACTTAATTCTTTTCTCCATTTTATTTTCCCAACAACCCTGTGCAATAAGTTAGGCTGAAAATATATGATCGGCCTAAGATCACCCAGTGAGCTTCCACAGTAGAGTGGGGATTTGAACGTAAATCTAGCAGAACCTAGTCTAAACCTGTAACCACTATGCACACTGGCTTTTTCAGGGTGGCTGCTGTTGAACACTACCAAGCTAGCAAGCAGCCAGGCCTGGGTGAGCCAAGCAAGTCATATGGTAGAAAGATACCTGATGGCTACTGCCAGGCCTGGCCCCAATAAATCCTCCATTAAAGGCTACAACAGCCCTAGGAAGGGCCCTATTCCCCACCACCACCACCTTTTATGGACAAAAAACAAGGTAGGAAGGCTGGCAGCTGTGATTCCCTAGCAACAGCCACTGAGGGCATTTGTTCCTTAAAACTACTGGTGCTGTTTCTATTATTGGTGGGGTTAACACCCCAATTTTTTAATTTAGATTTCACACCTTCCCACAAACCTGGAGTGTTTTTCAGGTTTGTAGAAAGATCTGCCTTGTCTGTTTATAGCTCCATTCTCTGGGCATAACTATCCACAGAGTTGGCCATGCTGAGAATCAGATAAACTGATAATTCCTATGCATGTAGACATACACAAATATTTCAATAATTGTTTAAATATGATTTTACAACATTCATATTCTATGCTTAATGACAATACATTATCAAAGATCAGTGTTTTCAGTGTTATAAAGTTAAACTTGACATCCAAATATACTGATAGTGCTATTTTTTGTGACTGTATGTGAAAGTGCTTCTGTCCAAATAGTACACTTTTGGTTCAGCCATCATTTTCTCCTACTTCTCAGATGGCAAAAAAATGAGATACATGTGACCTAGTGGCACAGGGTACAATAGTTTGCAATGCATTCTCACGTACTTGTAATTTTTCTTATGAAACATTTGTCTCTCATTTCTCTTATTTTTCTTATAAAACGTTTGTCTCTCAGTTCTCTATTTTTCATGCTCTAGCACCCTGTCCTTGTACTCCCCCCAAAGGAGAGAATGGGGCAAAGAACAAATAGGAGTGGACTCTTTTCTCAGTGACCCCCATTAACTTCTGTTGTACACAGTAAAAGGACTATTATCAACCACGCAGCTCAGGGATGGTCAAAGCTTGCTTTCCCACCCCAAAATTGTACCAGGTTCTCATTGAGCTCCCCCACCAACTGTTAAATTATAAACGCTTGTCTCCCCTCCAAGGGACCGCCTTATCCCGTATGTTCCCCCAAGAGCACTACGGTCTGGGGCCCAAAACTTACTAACTATGCCGGGCCCCAGAGATGTAAAGTTGGTCGCCACAAGGACCAGGGCCTTCTCGGTGACGGCCCCTGCCTGGTGGAATGAGCTCCCGGAGAAGATTCAGGCCCTGCGGGACTTGATGCAGTTCCGCAGGGCCTGTAAGACGGAGCTCTTCCACCAGGCTTTCAAGTA